TCTTCTCTCCCCCTCCTATCTTCTACCTCTCCCTCTTCTAATCTCACAGTCCCATCAACACCCTCTCTCCTTAACCAATCAGGCTTGTTAGCTGGTGTACCTGTTTCAAGAAAAGCACACATATCAGTAGCCAAAACTGAAAGGACAGACTTACTTGGAGACATTGGATGAGGAACGAAGACAAGTGTGGTTGGGAAGTCCTGTTTGGAGCCCAGAAAATCAGAATCAGCCCCTGAAATTTGCCTGTGTTGAGTGGGAGTGGGATTATTAACAATTCTGGTTGCGCCTAAAACCTTTTCAAATGCACCCTTCTCTATTGCCTCCATACTCATCTTCAAAGTTTCCTCTTGTCTCACTTCCTGTGCATCCTGTTCTTGCTGGAACACAGGAGGTAGTATCTCTAATTCAGGGGAAGGTGTCATCTGCTCAACTTCGACTGCATGTACTGCCCGCCCAAATTCCTTTGTTTCTTTTGTATTGGTCGACTTTTCCTTTTCTTCTCCCAAGAACAGTTCTTCAGTGTTGAAACTCTCTGCTTCGTTCATATCAATCCGCACTGTTTGATCTATACTGCCCAAGCTTGAGTATTCACTCAAGTCTGATTCGTCCTCGCTGGAACTCTCTTCAAATTCCAAGTCTGGTTCCTGCACTTTCTCCTTACCTTTACCACCGCACCTATTAAATTTTGGGTTTCGCTTTTCAGGGGAAACCAGAGTTTTCCCTTTGCTCTGTACCCAGATCATTGCCGAACACTATCTCTGGTATTTTCGGTTTCCTTTTGCTCTGTACCCAGTTTTGTATATTGCCTTATAAAATACTTTTATATTGTTACTTTTTTGAGATTATAATTATAAAATAGACATCCTTAAACAAAAATATTCATTTTTTGTGTTTATGAACTAATTTCTTTTTCTTATTTTCTTATTTGTTAGGGTTTAATCAACACGAAGAATTGCTAACTGCTGTATTGAACCCTCAAAGACTTCAGAATCTGAACCAATAAGCAAGGGAAAAACTTAAAGTTTTGTCTAATCAACACATTTCTTCCTCCACATCTTTTTCTTCTTCTTCTTCTTCTTCTTCCACCTTTTCTTTTATTCTTTTCCTATAACAAAAATAGGGGTTCAGTCCCCATATTTTTTGAATTTTCTTTTCTTTCTTCATTTTCTTCTCATAAATATGTTGATTTCCTAGACTTAAACATGAAGTTTAAAGAAAATTATGGATAGTTATTAAGGAAAGATGGTTATGGAACCTAGGGAACTACCTAGGATATGTGCTTTTTACTTAAAAAAATCCATCACTAGGCGACACCTAGCCTTGCCTTGGCGCCTTGAAAACTATGTGTTTGTCCAAAATAACTTTAGTCCATTCATGTAACAATGGCAAAAAAGAGGCACAACCAAAAAAGTGAAAGTCACCCCATCTCATACCTCGTGCCAGCATACCATGCAAAGTAGGGCCTTTTGCTCTCATTCCAATTCACCCTAGTTATAGCATTAAGACTAGGATCAACCTTTTCCAATAGCAGCATATCTAAATTGCCACTAATGACAGTGGATATTTCTATTATACCAGATTTTTCCTTGGTAGTCTTTAAAGTACCAGAGGAAGTATGTTCTTTAGGAGTCCAAGTGGAAAGTCGCTTTTCCTTAGGAGGTATTCAAACAAGGAATAGGTTCTCTTCAGGAGATACAAAATTACAAGCAAACATTGACCTAAGGAAATTAGGTCCAACACTTCATTCCCTTCGTCATTTGGGGCTTTCTCATAAAGAGCAGGGACTCACTCATTGAGGCTGATCATTAGCATCTCTCCCGTGAGAAACATTTGGTTGAAGGATATCTATCTAAAAAAAGGGAAGAGATCAAACGAAACAATCTTCTAACATTTTTTTGGACCAAAAGTTGTCTTTTCATCAAAATCCTAAAATCTGAAATTAATCTCTGATGGTCAATCAGAACCATCACCAAGTAGTTAAACTCTATAAAAATTGATATCTGTTATTCCCTCTTTATGAGGTCCAAATCATTCCCATAGTCAAAATAAAAAGTTCAAATCTGAAATTGATCTCTGTATGAGATTAAAAGCCTGAAATTTATTGAAATGTTCTTCTGTAAAGGGGATCAAAATAATCGTCAATAAGGTCAAATTGACCTAATCTCTTTAGGAGATCAAAATAATCTTCAATGAGGTCAACTTGACCTAATCTCTTTATGAAATCAAGGTAGTCTTCAATAAGGTCAACTTGACCTAATCTCTTTATGAAATCAAGATAATCTTCAATGAGGTCAACTTGACCTAATCTCCTTATGAGATCAAAATGATTTTATGAGATCAATGTTTTTTTTTTTTTGAAACTGATTTCTTTATGAGATCAATCCAATCTTCAAACATGTTGATATGATCTCCTCATGAGATCAAGGCAACCTCTAAATCCGTCCCTCATTATGAGATCAAAATTTCATTGAGAATATATCAGCCTAAGACCAAGGAAGTCTCTAATTAGGTCTACTTGAAAAATTAAAATGATTTTCAAATAAAAGAAAATCTCCTTAGACTGATTTCTGTAGTCAAATATTTTGATATAATCTCTCTTATGATATCAGTCATTGAGCTTTTTCTAAGTTTATGAGATCAGATTTTCTTCTTTCTAAGTTTGATCTCTTTTATGAGATCAGATGTGAAACTGATCCCTCTAATGAGGAAGGGAGTCACATGTGAGAAGTCCCTGATTAAAAAATCATCAGTACTAGAAGAAGCTGTAGTAAAAACAAAGTGAACATACTTGAAAAAAGTATCCCGTATGGGAGTTCCCTCTCTTTAAGTACAAGGGACAGGTGTCCTTCACCTGGGAGGAGGTAGTTACATAACTATCCCACTCCCTATTTAAGCTCCTTAAGGGGAAGCTAGAGACAGAGACTCTTCAGAGAAAATTTTCACAAGAGATTCTTAAGAAAAGCAAAGATAAGGAGAGAAGAAGAGAGAAGTGCTCAAGGGAAGGCAAGGAAGGAAAAATCTCACTAATACAGGTAGAAAAAGGAAAGTCCTCTCTGTGAATACTTCCTATTTATGTCTTCTGCTATGTATCCTTCTTTCTCTCTCTTCTATTTTTACTTTAGAGAAAGGAAATAGAGGGAAATAAACCATCTACAACCAAGTGCCTCTACTTGGTTGATTATGATCCCTCTTTCAAGACAAAGTTAGGGATTAAACCATCTACAATCTAATTCTCGAAGGCTGATTATGGTTCCCTTCAAAGGAAAATGAAGAGTAGAGGGAAATAAACCATCGACAACCAGGTGCCTCTACTTGGTTGATTATGGTCCCTCTTTCAAGACAAAGTTAGGGATTAAACCATCTACAGCATAATTCTTGAAGGCTGATTATGGTTCCCTTCAAATGGAAATGAAGAGCAGAGGGATGAAAATCGTCTACAATCAAATATCCAGTTTGATTGACTACGGTTCCCTTTTTGTATGCAAAAATCCAAGGATTAAGGCTGTCTACAATCAGAATTTCATCTGATTGATTACAGCTTATTGTGAAGAAAAGGAGTGAGAAGGAAATTTTCTTTGAATTAAAAAGAAAAAAGAAATGTATTGTTGTATAGTTTCTCAATTGTATCTTCTTTTTCTTTCTTCTCATTCTTGTACACTTGATGTAAAAGAAAAGCAAATGAAAAGTTCTTTTTAAGTACCCTATTGTTCTTTTCTTTTGTTCTATGCATTCATTTCTCCAAGTCAGAATCAAAAGGTGTTCTCTACTTTTTTGTAAAGATGTAATTAAGGGGAACAATCCGTATGATTCCCTGAATGGGCCTTATCCAAAAAAATAAAAACTCAATCACTTGATTGAGTGAATTATGTTGCATGAGAATTTATTAAGATTTTTACACCAACACTCCTACTCACCATCTCCCACCCAACCCAATGGTCCCTTTTTCTTCTCCTCGGGATCCCAAAGACAATCTCTCATTAGTTTTTCCAACTTGCTGGCCACCCCTATTGGAACCTTAAAGACAAACAAATAATAAACAAGTAAGTTAGTTAGTGTAGACTTAATTAGGGTGATTCTTCCTCCAAGAGATAAACAAGTTTTCTTCCATGAGGCAAGTTTCTTTTCAAATCTCTCCACAATGGGTATCCAACAGCTACCTTTCCGAGGATTGTCTCCTAAGGGCAGACCTAGTAATTTAAAGGCCAATTAGATATTGAACATTCCAGAATGTCTACAAATTCAAATATTTCCCCTTCTCCCATATTGATTCCCGCTATACAACTTTTCTCAAAGGTCACTTTTAAATTTGACATTTGCTCAAAAAGTTGTATTACAAGTTTTAGATTCCTGATCCAATTCAAATCCTCTCCTTCACAGAAGAGTATTCTATCAGTTGCAATCTACAAGTGAGTGAGTGGTATGTCCTCTCTGCTTGTTCTCCATCCTCTTGCTAAGCTCCTAGAGTCTGCACTAGAGATCAAATTCCCCAAAACTTCTACAACCAGGGTAAACAAAAAAAGAGAGAGGGGGTCTCCTTGTCTTATTCCTCTCAATGCCGAGAAGAAATCCACCACTGTCCCATTTACCAAAATAGAGTAATGACAAGTCCTAACACATCCATCACCCATTTGCATCATCTATCTCCAAAACCAAAATTAATCATCACCTCTAGCAAAAAGGACCAATCTACCAAATCATAAGCTTTTTCTAGATCCAACTTGCACACCACTCCCTTTTTCCCTGATTTCTTGAAATCATGCATGCAACTTGTAACTTGCCGCCATGGATTATGCCAGGCACATTAAGAGATAAACCTAAATCAAAATGGTTATTCAATAACATCATGCAAAGCACACTAAACAAAATTAAGACACTAATACAAATTCCACATAAATCTATCAAAAAAATACAAATTCCACATAATAAATAGTTTTATAATCAACAAATCAACTAAATTTCACATATCATTCCACCAAGTGAAAGAAGTAGGGCAAACTTACCTCAGCACTCATTTGCTTCTTCTTCTCTTTTTCCCTCTGATGCCATTCATAAATAGGTGTGAAATCACAGAGCTCAAATTTCTTAATTACATGGTTTTTACCAAGTATTGTTCTCCAATCATTCATGAAATTCTCTATAAATCTCGATTTGGTTGCATAATCTGTATCTTTCATAACTGCAAACATTGTTGCAACCTGCACATGAAAGTTGTCAGAAATCAAAGATAAATGATCAAAAGAAGATATGTACCAGTTTGTAGATATGACAACATTTGAATATTCAAAAACAAAAACACTACTAATATCACCAAGGAGCACACAAAGATTGAGAAATGGGGCAGAATCATGAGCCTCACCTCTTCCTGTTCAGGAGTCAAATCTACAGGTTTCCCATTATAGAGCATCTTAACCCCATGTGGCTTGTACAGAGGAGGGAAGATGACACCATTGTGTTCCAAGGTAGTCCACTTTTGCCCTTCACCAGAGCTAGGTGGCATTTTTGTTGACTTAGAATATTTAGAGTTCTTTGCAGCCTTCTTCAACTTATTGGTTGTTTTCTTGAATGAGGAAGAAACAACTTTTGTGGTTTTCTTCAAGGATAATGATTTATCATCCGAAGAAGCTGACTTCTTCAATCTCTGAGAAATAGGAATATCATCTTCATCTTCTTCTTTTGGCTCCGATTTTATAGATGTTTGCTTAACTTTGGTAGGAACAGACACCTCTGAAACTTTCAGCTTTTTAACTAATGACTGACCAGATGAATTGGCACCACTCAGAGGTCTCTTGTTCAAATTTTTGGGGGACTTCAAAGGCTCATTATCTCTCTTGCTGGAACCATTTTGCTGGAGCTTGGAAACTAAAGGTTTCTCTTCACCAGAGTCATAGAACTTCTTACCAGATAGCCCCACACTTGGCTTCAACTTCAACTTCAATGACAATGGTAGCTCATCTTCTGAATCTTCAGAAGATTTCTTATTGGTGACGTTTGTCTTTTCTGATTGTGATGAACTAGCAACAGGTGAACTGAGACCCTTTGAAACAGGTGATGACTTGCACTTTAATAGTGATGCAGAAGTTGGAAGTCTAATGCTCAATGGCTTATCATCATCTGAATCAACAGAATCTGTATATGGCTCATTGCAAGGTTTCTTCAATTGCTTCTCCATATTATCAATAGATGAATTCTTTTGTGGAGAACATTTTAACTTATCAGTTATTGAAGTCGATGCCTTTGAACTTGTTTCAGTTGACTTCCCTGTTGATGCCTTTGAAGATTGAACTGCCTTACCCTTTTGCAAGCTTGAGTTTTGACCATTTGGAGAAAACGAATCAGAGACACACTTCCCTGATGATCCATCACGCTTTCGAGATGATACCTTCTTTAACTCTTTGTTTAGTTGGTTTTTCTTAGATGATGCATTGTTCCTTTTAAAAATGATAGGCCCCTCGTCATCATCACCATCATCAAAAAATTTTGGTTTGATACAAGCATCAACAGCCATCATCCCACTTTGCAGTGTGTTGGCATTTATATCATATCATTTTCTGCAAATAGTACAATTCCAGAACCCATGAACATCAAATAAGTATTAAACATAAATTATGCAGTCATATTGTAAAATTGATAGAAAAACAAGAATTATTAGAATCAATTGAAAAATATTACTGACTACAATTTGAGGTCAGGAAAAGAAACCGTACACAAGATGTAAATGTCAAAAGATGATAGGCCAAGAAAATTAGTTGGGAATAGCAACTTCAATGTTTAGCTTAGAAGAAACATTCTCATACATCATAAGATCAACCAGGTCCACCTGGAAATTATTGCCTTTTTAAAAAATCATCAGGTTCTATGTCTAGAAACAAAACAAACTCTATAATATCTAAATTGCAATTGGTGCTGAAGACTGAAACATAGGTAGTTGACTTGGCCATCCAATTCTTAGGTGAGCCCCCAACTCATAACAGCTTATGAGTTCATATTCAAAACAGTCCAAGATCAAATGACATGCTTGTGTTCAGAACTGAAGCGATAGCTTTGAGTTTTTTTTTTTATCAAGACAATTTGATGTAGGACAAGCTCAGTTCTAGTCCTTAGAGAATGTTGAATGGTCTTCTTGGATCAGAATTTTATAGCTGTTGATGGCAGTAATGGCTTCTTAAAGGAATAAGAGAGAATAGGGAGAGAAAGATAAGAGACAATACCTGGAATCACTCACAGGGTGCCTAGAATCACTCTAGGGCATGGGAATCACTCACCATAGCTAGCATAAGCTGAAGAAAACTCAATATAATTCATTGCCTTTGTGTAAAACGTCCATACATA